CTGATGCTTGCTTGCAAAGTGACATGCAGCGTGCCAGAGGCCGCACTGTGTGCAGCGGTAGGGTGTGCCTGCCTCGCGCTTCTGCGCGGTGCATTCTTTGCACACGCGGTAGGTTTCCTGTTTCCATTGTGCTTTGGTGAACGCATCTTTGCGCTTCATCTCCACACATTCGTGGCACGGCCTTTCATCCAGGTATTTCTTGCGCAACGCATCCCAGTCCACCGGCTCCTGCTTCCACACATCAAGCAGAAGTTGCCGTCCCAGTGGAAGGCCTTCTTGAAAAGGCGCCAGCGGGAACGGTCGGTAGATCAAGATCTTCTGCCGTGTGCGGCTCCGCGTCATCCCAATGTACGCCGCTATGGGGTCAGCACCCACCATGTCAACGATTACGCCCGGCTCTATTGTGCTTCCTTGTGCACCGTAGAACGTGTCAGCGAAGTCGGGCGCGATGGGAAATTGGTACCGGGTGACTTTCAATTGTGGGTTGGTGCGGCCTGCGTCTAGAAACCACTGTGCACTTTGTATGCTGACCGGGAAGACGTTCTCTTGATCGATGCCTGGAATTGTCCAACGTGTTCGCGTCTCAAAACGCACGAAGATATAATCGGGGAGTTTGTTCCATATTACTGCTTCATCTGCCGCCGCTGTTTCTGTCTCAATGCTTGACCACCCGCAAATGGTTCCATGACACCCTTTCAAGATCTTGAAATCCTTCCGGTGTAGGTGTTCCCGCGCTTGTACAGGCATACCAATGCACAGCGGAAGGACGCCATACCGATTCCCGCAATCAGCATCGCTGCGTTGCAGCCATGTCAGCTTGTCTTGGGCGATGTCGGGCTTCTCGTGCAAAGCTCGCGATGATACCTTATCCGTAGCCACTGCATAATAGATTATTTGCCCATGCTGCCGCGCCCATTGTTCCGCGCGAAGTTTATTCACGTGGCACTTCACCCCGTTCGTGTGGAAAATCCCCCGTGCCATGCTGAAACCGTCTACGAAGCGAGGATCGTCTGCGTCCACGGCAACTAGACGCTTGGTATCCCGTTCAGCGTGACAGATTGGACATTCGTACTTGAGAATCGCTGTCGCTGTGGAGGCGTTTTTGTACAACTGATAACATATGTTTTCTTGACACATAGGCCGTTGAGTCCTAGCGCACCAACTTCCTGGAACCTTTGTTGGTCGACCATGCAAGAATGCATGGTTGTCTTCGGACAAGTGCCCCACGCGAAGTTCTACTTGCATCGTTGTCACTACGTATGGTTTTTCCATCTATAAATACTGTACTGGTTGGAGTAAGACAGATCCCATGAGAGAAGACATCAACGACATAGAGACATGGGGATTTTCAATGGGGATAGAATAGAAAATCCCTACTAACATGGATGGTTTGGGGGTATCCCCATTTTATGAATCTCTTATGTATCCCTCCTAAGATGGATGGTTTCTGATGTATTCCTATTTTAAGAACCTCCAAATAAGTAAAACGCAAGAAGTCCATCAAACAGACTTCAGTCTGAAAAGTTTGTAAACTATGGTTGCGAAGTGGTTAACAACCCACGAAAGAATCTGATGAATCAGCGGTACAAACAGATAATCTATACAACCCATAGCGGACCCACAGTTCATGTCTACTACTGCATGCTGTGGATGAGTTTCAAAATGTCATCTTCATAATATCAGTTGCAATACAACCTTTCAGTTTCAAACTCCAAGTTTCAAAATATAGCTAGGGAGTTTCAGTGTACAACTATAGACTTTCAAAATATAGGGCCCACAAGATTTGAGCAAATGAATAAAGCACGCAAGAATTCGACAAAACGCGTTACTTGAATGCCTTTTGCTCCCACTTGTTGCAAAATGTTTTTCTTTTGTCTATTGATTCCATCCGTCCGTCCATACATACATACTATACATTACATTACATTGCATATCATTACATTGCATTACATTACATTACATTACAGTACAGTACATTACATTACATTAACATACATACGTACATACATACATACATGCATGCATGCATGCATGCATGCAGACATAAATACACACAGACAGACATTACACTACACTACATACATTACATTACATTGCCATACATTACATTACATGACATGACATGACTCTGCATTACATCACATCAGATTACATTGCATTGCATTACACTACATACATGAAAAAATTACATTACACTGCATTACACTACATTACATTAGACTAGATTACATTACATTACATACATTACCTTACATATCCTTACATTACATTACATTACATTACAGTACACTACACTACACTACATTGCATTACAGTACATATATTCCATACATTACATACATTGCATACATTATATACAACAGATACAATGCATACATTATATACAACAAATACAAAGCATACAATACATACAAGACATACGGTACATACAATACATACAATACATTACACTACATTACAGTACATTATATTACATTACAATACAATACATTACAGTACATTATATTACATTACAATACTTACATTCAAGTCTCGTTTGATCTTGTTTTCAAACTATCATGTGGGATTTCTTTGTCACCTAGAACCTAGGCTCTCTCTAGGGTTTCATTTAAGATACAAACAGGAAAAATACCAGCAAAGAAAATGAAAAACAAAGAAGTGGTCCAATTCAACAACTGGAATAATAATCTAATGCGCTAGATAATCTAAATACATATATATATATATATATCCGTATGTACATGGCGCTTGTGCAGCACCATTTCATATATTCATATAGCGCTTCTGCAGCACCATTTCCTGGCGCTTATGCAGCACCATTTCATACAGCGCTTCTGCAGCACCGTTTCATGTGGCGCTTGTACAGCACCATTCCATATGGCGCTTATTCAGCACCGTTTCACTTGGCGCTTATGCAGCACCTTTAAGCTTCATTAATTACTTCTGTTTCAACCGTATTTTCTGGGGCGCAGCACCTTGCCACAAAAAGGAGGGATAAATGGGAAGGTTAATTTACTTAATAAAATGAATACTTTCACGAGCTCAAGACCCACACTCTGGTTGAAGTCGTCGAGGAACTGCTCAGGGGGGTGAAGGGGTTTGGTGGGTGGGTTTTCTTACTATATCAAAATATTTTGTCAAATATATTTCATAAAGATATACATATGAAAAAGGGGAAAACCTAAAAGTGCGACGCACCGAAGAATGTTGATGCCAATTTGGTTTCATTCATTGATCATTCTTCCGGGGTCGGCGGCAGGGGCGGCAGCCCTTAAATATTCCTATATATTCCTATATATTCCTGGCATTTTGGGAGCGGATCGCTGGTGTGGGAACTGGCTACCGCATGCTACCGCCTTCCCCACTCGCACTCGTTGTCGGTGAGCCATGATTCATGGAAGTGTCCTGTTCAAGCCCAGGAAGCCCAGACTTTCCCCGTTGCTCCGTGCTGGAAGATTTCAAATATTTACCCTAAAACAAAGATGATGCGAATGTAGGAAAATCATGATTTAAATCATGGAAAATAATGGTGACTATATATACCATATTCTGATCATATTCATCCATTACTGTAGAGCAAAGAATCCTCAATTTAAGTGCTTTGTGATATTGGATTACTGGATATTGCTGATTATTATTGGCTGTTTAGGATTTGGGCTGATTTACCCCGAAATGGTTGATACTTGGGGATGGTTTATTTATGGCCAATCCCACAGATCAATCAACTCGAAGTACGATCCATCGCTTGGCTGCAAGATCCATCGGGTTCTCAGGTGTCAACCCAGTTGCTGATTCCATAGAACAGCCAGTACATACCCTCTGGTAAACTAACATAACTATGGAAAATCACCATTTTCAATGGGTAAATCCACTATAAATGGCCATTTTCAATAGCTATGTTAAATTACCAGAGGGTATCCCAATCCTGAACAGTTCCCAGGTCCTAAATCCATTAGCCATGAACGTAGAGCTCGAACGGTCAAGCTATCCAACACGCCATGCAACGGACCTGTCGGCAGAAGTTGTGCAAAAAAAAAAAGTTCCAGGCGACAGACGTCAGATGCTGAAAAGTTACGGACGCCTGGAAAATCTGGTGGAAGATCTGGCTTAAGATCATCATCTATAATTATCTATAATTATAATAACTATTCATCAAAAAATCCTCAAAAAAAACATCGCAGAAAACTGTTCGATCTTTTTCTTGGGGGACCAAGATATATGTGCCCAGAACTCCGCTACCGCTGCCTGTGTAGAAGCCATTCCTTGGTGGACACTGTCGGACGGCTTCAACCAGAAACAGTGGAGAGTTCCACGCGGGTCATTATGACATAATCCCTGTCCCCTAACCCATAGGATCCATGTGTGCTATATATGGTAACATTTACCATCAATATACCCCAAATGTTAATATATAAATATATATATATAATACCATACATGGATCCTATGGGTAATCAGTTGGGTATATCAACATACATTTTAGATATTTTGAGATGATGTGGGCATGTCTGAAGATGGGCTACACCCCAAGAATGATACCCTCTGGTAAACTAACATAGCTATGGAAAATCACATTTTTTTATGGGAAAATCCACTATTAATGGCCATTTTCAATAGCTATGTTACAAATTACCAGAGGGTAATTGAATAGTGGTACCATATTTCCAAATACCGCCGAGGCCGTGATTTTTGTTCCAACCCTCTGAACAGAAGAAAAAACAGGGGGATCGTGTCTCGAGGAAACTCTAGAAATGGGGAGTATACCTTACCCCAACATTGCCATTTTTTATGGTGACAATGATGATCATCGCATATTTTGGGGTATCATAGTCCTATTGGGACGGGGCACTCCGAAAAATATCTCGGCCAACTACAAGCTGATCACGATTAAGCTTGGAAACCGGTGCCATTTTATTTGGGTATGTCACATACCTCGCAACAAACAAAAAATGTCCATTTCCTTCGAATCTATTGTTTTCCTACACCGAAAAATGCTGAAATCATCTAAACCATTCAATAACCATTTCACTAAACATTTTTCCCCCGAACCCGATGCACACTGCAGCGGCAGGTGTCCTCTTCAAATAGCTCTGCAACGCTCTCTTACCCTCCTGTCGAGAAAGCCCCAGTTATCCACTTGGGTATTGCTCAAAACCCTGGTGCCCCGCTGTGAAAACACCAAAATACGGCGCACTTGAATGTTCATACCTCAATCGAGTGGTACCATCAGTATGCACCAATCCCCAAATGTACACAAGTCATAACCCCTTTGTCTTGTTGCAGGATGTTGCAGGGGCTTTCTGGCCACGTGGCCAAGATTGGCCAAGAAAAGCCGGAGTTCCCGGTAGCATCTCAAGCCCCTCGCCTGGCCCCACTGACCCTCGCGAATCGACGGTGTTCTCGGCAGATTTTCATCATGGGAAAGAAAATTCAATAGCGCCTCCGACCAGGCCGGGGATGGGTCTAGGCGACTGCAAATTTGGTAGATTCCCAAAATTACCAATCCAGTTATTAAGTAAAATCATAATGATTAGATTAGTTATATATATATATATATATCATTATTTATATATATATATCATTATATATCATTATATATCATTATATATCATTATATATCATTATATATCATTATATATCATTATATATCATTATATATCATTATATGTACACAATATCCATCCGTATCCCCATGGCATCAAAGCCATCCGGTATGGCTTCCCCAGCAGATCAGCCTTCTTGGTGTGCATCCCAAAGATCCCATCGATGACGATGATGAAGTCTTTGGTCTTCACCGTAGCTGACCTGATCAGCGGGTTTGCCACGTCAGAAAGGACCGGTGTACCACCTGAGCTGACCCAAAAGGACAACCATCCAGAAAGGAGTTTGCTAAGCAAAAATAAGTGGAAGATGAGATCTGGTATAAAAAAACCTGCAGCAGCATTGGATTTCCAGACATGAACATGCTCCACATGGCTATGGAGTGCTATGGATCATGACACCGCTACCCTGCTATTCACATCAAAATAAGTAAACCTATCAAGATAATCTATTTCCACATCCCAAAGCTGGCACCTTCGAAGCTGTTCAGCCTGCCGAGGCATAACCGCGTTCACCATCGCTCAAGATCTCATTCTTCGTTGGTTCTAAAATCTGTGAAGATCTTCAATATGTTCATCGGATAGAAAAATCCCTTCAGCTCTTAATCTGCAAAAGATCTGCAATCCATTCACTTCCTACAATGTGGGACCCCTAGTTATAAGTTGGTTTATAACCCCATCTAACTATGGTTATAACTACCATACACCCTAGTTATTGTAGTTATGTTCACCAACTGAACGCTATCGACTGGGGGCCCCACTTCCTCTATCAATCCAATCCATCCATCATTTCCCAACCCATAGGATCCATGGTGCTGGTATATATGCTAACATTCATTTGGGGTATATTGATGGGATCCATGGAGCACCATATATAGCACCGTTAGGATCCGTCATGGGCAATAGTTCCCACCCAAAACAATCAATGGCCATTTCAGGAACCTAAATTGGAGGTACCTACCATATATAAGGCCTATTTTTCAGGCCTAAGTTTCAGGGAATATCCCCACAAAATATGGCCAAAAATATGGGGCCCTCTGGTAAACTAACATAGCTATTGAAAATGGCCATTTATAGTGAGATTTCCCATTAAAAATGGTGATTTTCCATAGCTATGTTAGTTTACCAGAGGGTACAGTACCTCCATTTTAGGATCCTGGAGATCTCCCATTGAAACAACCCCAGATACCCCAGATAGATCGCCTGCAGGAGTCCCTCCGCAAAGTCTTCAGCTTCATCCAGTGCTCCATGGAGCCAATGCGCGTGCCGACTCCTGGGGATATGACCAGGGGATTTAACGATTGAACCACGAAAAGACCATGGTTATTAATAAGATATAAAGATAATTTAGAGAAAAAATAGTATATTAAAGATTTATGGAAATTATTGGAAATGATGTTCCAGGAGCCGTGTTGTATTTCTTCTGAGATGAAGATGCAATTGTGGTCAGAGCGTTGTGACTCATGAACTTTTGTGGAATGGAGATGAACATAGATAGATCAACCATAGTCCCCATGTGAGTATGAGTACGATTGAGAAAGGCATGTTACTGCAAGCATGAACGATTGGGATACAACTGGCATGAGCCAACCATCATTGGATTGTGGGAAAGAATATGGATATAAAACCCATATGAAACAGATTGACAATGAGCAAAGCAGGCATCAAATCAGAAGCTCCAGGTATGTCCAAGATGTGATTTTTTTTGGGTCTAGACATATACAGACACCCTTTTATCTCTTTACCTCACTGACATTGTGGGAGGCCGGCGGTACACATCCGGCCTTAGGCGTCGGATGACCCCCAGCAGCTCGGCAGGGCTGGTGGCGCCCCGTTGAGCGTTGAAGATGAAGTCATGCCTGAAGAAAGCCCCTGAAGAAAGCCCCGGTGGGGTGAACAACATCAAACTAACCATCAAAGTCAGCATATAGTATATAGTATATCAATTCCCATGTTGGTTGGTTAAATCCTATGATATCATATATTACCCTCTGGTAAACATACAAAAAACTATGGAAAGATCCACCATTTTTCATGGGAAAACAACCACTATTTCGACTGGGTCATTTTCAATAGCAAACTGTTGACATAACCAGAGGGTAAGCATCAAAGTCAGCATATGGGGGGGTTAACCATAAAATCAACATGGGAAGTTACACTTTTACCTGGCTTGAAATGGGAAGTTCATGGTGATCATCCAAGGTGAACAACCAACTTTAGATGGAAAACTCCACGTTCGTGTGTCGTCTATAACAAAGAAGACATGTCTTTTTGGGGAATACTGTGTGATTATGTATAATATATGTATGTATCTCTCTATATATATATATATACGTGGTATTAAATTATACATGCATTTCGAACATGGATAAACGCTTTTCGAACATGTTGAAACACCCCGGAGTTGAGGGACAAGTTTGAACGTGCACTTTGGATGCCATAACACATCACAACATGTCGATTGAAAATACAACACACAAACATAAACCTATCATAGCCTATCATTGTTGATGGTTTCAAACCATCCCAAACATACTAGCCCATGTGGATCACTGCAGGTAGGATGCAACACACAGATGATTGAAACCCGCACACAGTATACAGACCGCTGCCCAAAGCGGCAAATAATCTTCACCAGATGCTGGCCAATGCCAGTAATCCCCTGTCCATCATGGGCCATACTCTGTCCAACTGAAGTATCTGACTCTTTCATCGCAAGTTGTGTGATCTGAACTTTCCGTAACTTTCCTATCATGTTCCTCAAAATTCACCCCACCCATACATTTGAAATCCTGAGCTCCCTACAGACATGGAAACTCCCAGCATTGCTGGAGACCGTCATAGATGAAGGCCTTGGCATTTGATGCTGTTTTATGTTCTGCTTTCCTATGATAATAAACATGCATATGTATGTATATATATATATAATCACATATGTATATATATATATGTAAGATCACATATGTGTATATATATATGATTCATGATCATATATATATATACATACATAGATCTATTAATCTATATTAGTATATACCATCCCCCAATTTACATGGACCCTGCCAAATAGAGGCTTGCACTATTCCTTGCACTGTCAACCTTGAGCAAGCGTCTTTTCAGCTTTAGCCCCTCTGGACAAGACTAGTCATCGGGGATCATCATTCCAAAAAATGCTGGGATTTACCCTCTGGTGATCAAACATGGCAATGGAAAATGCACCATTTGTAGATGATTTTCCCATGAAAACCTCCATTTCTAGCTGGGATTGCCCATTGCAACGTTCGACTACCGGAGGGTACTGTTTGTTTGAAATCACCAGCCAGAAGCTGTTTGACTTTCCATCTTTCAGGTCCTCGGTATTTGGTTCGAAACGATCTCCGCTTCGATGGCCTACAATGTGGTGCCCCCTAGTTATAAGTTGGTTTATAACCCCATCAAACTATGGTTATAACTACTATAAACCCTAGTTATGTTAGTTATAAACCAACTTAGCTATCTTGGGGGCCCCACATTGTACAAACTCATACAAATGATCTGCACTATGCTCGATTTGGTGCTACATTTTTCGTTCAGCACTACCCTGTCCTACCATTTTCTACACTAAATTGAGACTCAACCCATCTCTTCTCACCGCCCCACCATATCCATATCCCAGATCCCGATCCTCACCTGTGATGGCCATTTGGTGCTGTGACTGCTGGTCAAAGAGATCAAATGTTTGCAATACCTGTCCGTTGAACCCAATAAATAACATGAGGGATTGATTTGGATTGTAGATGAATAATTCATATTTCCAGTGTTACACATTTGAAATCATTAAACAAATCTAAACAACCTTAATCCTAATTATGAGCTATGAATTATGATCGTTAAATGTTATTTAAGGATAAGAAATTGGGTTCATTTTGAGATGTTGCGATAAAGATTGATGCTACCAGCTTCTTGGGTGTATGGTTTCTCCTCTCCAATGACTGAGACGCTGTTCGTTGGATGTTCAAAAGGATGACTCTGAAGAGGAATTACGTTCTCTACCATGTTTCATGCGACATGATAGGCATACCCCGAGCATGATATTGGCATATCATATCCAAATTACACTCCTATCATGAACTACAGTACCGTTCTTTAGCCAAACATGTTGATAGTGGTGCCATGAGAATGGCCCAGTTGACTGTCATGGATATTCATCACCCATTCATATGCTTTCATATGCTCCGTATACTGATAGGTTTTGACTCATGCTCCTGTACCAATCATTCACAGAGAGCTTGTCCAACATCGTGACTTGACTAGACCATTTCTGCTGCAGCAACCCATACAGCGAAGCAGAATAATGTGTGGATTGTCACACAAATTCTTGAACACAGTTTATTTGATTGTTTGATTGTTTCAAGATTTTCAAGTATATCTAAGGCCTCATAACTTAAAGTATCTTTAGTTCCCACATCAGTTCATGGATGATTTCCCTGATATTTTCCCCTTCATTTCCTGTAGCGGCTGATGTTTCGACCGCCTGCATTCCTCCATCACCTCGGACTTCACGAAGTGCTGCTGGTGCTCCTTCCATCGGTGCTTTTCTTGGTGATGGTAAGGTGGTTTAAACCCAGAATCACCACACATTTCAAGGTAGAAAACTGAACACTACCACCCTGAAATTCGGAGAAGGGATCGCTTGGATATCAAATGATATCAATAATTGGTATTTCTGACCCCATTTAATAACACATCCTTCAAAGAATGCTCACAACACCAGGTCGTTGTCGCGACGACCTAGCCATTGATTTCCCGTCCTCATAGGCTTCGGGATCCAATCGCATGCTACTGGTGTCATACAAGGGATTCTCCAACCATCGAATGTAGAACCCCGCGGGGCTCAGGAAGGAGAACACGCCCCTGGCCCCGAGAGCCCCGAGAGCCCGGAGGTCAGGACTGGTTTTTTGGGCTTCCCATCTGTGATTTGAGTTGGGATATAAAAACCTGAAGCTAACTGCTGCGATCAACGTACCAGGATGAAACATACCCATGACGGATCCATGGTGCTGCTATATATGGTGCTCCATGGATCCCATCAATATACCCCAGTCATGTTAGCATATATACCAGCGCCATGGATCCTATGGGATAGGTAAATAAACAATTGTTTTTTCTTTTGAAACCACCACGAGCAGAACTCAAATTCACTTCCGCACCTTAGGTTCGAAAACAAGCTGACAAAATAAAAAGGTACAATCCAATTATGGTGTATCCCAACATGTTTGACACTGACAAAATGATCAGCAATTTTCAGTTGTAACATCGTGAAAGTCCAATCTGGTCCAGCCATTGATGTGGCCCTTTTACTCAGGCTGCATCGTCCAAGCTGAAGTTCTGCTACTGGATTGAATTGGGACACGCGAAGGTGTCCAAATAGTCCCTTGCTCACCCAAAAAAGGCAGAGGATCAAGATATCCAAAGATGATGTATTATTCTTCTACTGGCACTGTAATCCCCCATTTATGATCAAAAGAAAGAGTCTTCCACTGCCCTTTCTCAGTCAATGACCATCACATGGCGGAGTTGGTGGTAGTGATCGATGGCACAAGGCTTGATAAAAACCTACCAAAACAGAATGGATCAACTGGTGGTCCCATTGGGCTTTTTCGGTCATCTTGTACCATCCTCCTAAGCAAGGGACGGAAAATGAAACATATTTGAAAACAGCAATATTGTTATTATATATAGTTATTATTATTGTTATTGTTAATTGTTGTCATAGCTATACCCTTCCCATTCCCCATTCATCCCATACCCCAAAGATGGCGCCTCCCAAAGGTCTCCGGAAACCAGGCCATGAAAAAGCGCAGTGGAACCTGAACAAAAACCGCAATAATCATCACCAATGGATCAGGTTTGAGGGAAAAAACATCACAGGAGACCATGTTGTTTCATGATTTTCTGATTTCAAACATAGTCAAAACATGGGGTCTCAATCCAAGGAACAAATGATGATAATGATTCACGTTAGCCATTACCATGACAACCATTGCCAGAATTCATCAACTTCTGATCATGAATCAGTCTGAGCAATTTGTCGCCTCCGCGTCACGCGGCAAACGATATAAAAGAGATATGTCCAAGAGTTGAAAACAAGAATCAGAATTGGGGATGCCCAATTCTAGTGACAGTTCGATGTGGAAAGCCCATTTTATTTGTTTCGTAGATCATGAAGCCTGGGGAACCCGTTCCCCACTCCCTCAAAAAAATTCTTGGAGTTGGTGATGCCCCCAATCATATGGCAATGGCCACCCTAATAACCTAATGTTTCCTGTAAGGAATCGTCGTCCAAGTGGGACGTATATAAGAACCCATTTTGGTAGTCTTTGGTGCTAGTTGGTATTGACATCTATTGACCCATAATTGCCCATATTCCACAAAATAGCTATCAAATCCCAACGATACTCCGCTTTTTTTCTCTTTTTCATAGCTAGTAGATGCAGGCAAATACTTAGTTTTTATACATGTAAATAATGGTAAATACTAATTTATCTTCATCCCTTTTTCTGGGGAGTAGAACAGAAGGGTCTTGAGTCATCCGACTTATCCCCGAAATAATTTGGAACTTCACGGATCTCAACCCCCGAGGCTCCGACAACCACAGCCAAAGAACAGAAGAACCTGAAGATCAACACCGGAAGATGAATGTTCACCCTCCCAAGAGGGTTTGTTAAAGAAACAAGAATATGCTGGTTGGTGGTTTTAACGATCTTGAAACATATTAGAGTTCGTCAATTTTGTCAGGATTATCCCATATATTATGGAAAATACCCTCTGGTGAACTAACATAGCTATGGAAAATCACCATTTTTCATGGGAAAATCCACTATAAATGGCCATTTTCCATTGCTATGTTAGTTCACCAGAGGGTAAAACATGTTCCAAACCACCAAGCAGTAATGGGTTACGCCCAACACCCCAGATACAGCAGCTGCGACTCTTCAGTGAAGGGGGCTGCAGCTGGCTGGGCGGCCAACGCAAAGCACATGATCATCATGTCCCGCAAGCGCATTGTTTCAACATATCTTGCAAACAAATGATCCATTTAAATCCATTTAATTTGCTATAATTTGCTGAGGTCGGATTGTAATTCCACACAGATCTCATTGATCTGATATGCCCGAACCTCAAGTAATCCCCACATCAGCTGTCAGCATTGATGCCAAGATACATGGATGCCAAGAAGGACAGCAGGGGCGCATCCATGGTCAAATGCCCCTGGTGAATTGGCATCAAACTGGCCTTGGCGTGGGTGCAGAGGTAGGTCCTTAGCTGGGCTGGGCCCCTGGGCTGACTTGCGTTGCATCCCTTGAAAGAATGACAAGCTGGGAAAGTATTGGGCAAACACCAGAACCTCCTGGACTATTTGGCTTTGATGCCTGAAAATGCAGGCTACTTCCACAGTGTCTTCACTTGCTCCTGACATTCACTCATTCCCAACAAAATCAGGACATGTTGGCAAAACGCACCAAAAAACACCCTTTTATCCCAGCTGTACATGTATTTGTGAAATCCCATTATATTATTCCCAAGAAGTCAGTCACACCAAATCCCATGACGGATCCATGGTGCTGGTATATATGCTAACATTTATTGGGGGTATATTGATGGGATCCATGGAGCACCATATATAGCAGCACCGTTAGGATCCGTCATGGGAATGTGAACCACGTATAGACCGCCGAATGACCCACTGGAGAAGTGATAGAAGAGCCGGCTCCTTGGCGGTGACCGTTTTTCTCGGCGCAACGAAGCCAGATGGCTTTACACGTCTTGGGCGCCGGTACCCAAAGGGATCATTAGCCTTTGGTAAACTAACCAAAAGCTATGGAAAATCACCATTTTTAATGGGAAAATCCACTATTTCTATGGTCATTTTCAATAGCTATTTTGACATAACCAGAGGGTAGCCCATTTTATGGCGATACCATGGGGTTCCAATTTTTTGAGACCCCAGGAAATTCCCCAGGTCACTGGTGTCCAAACATTGAGCCAGCCCCAAGGTACGTTAGTCGACAAGCCTAAAAACATTTGCGCGAGATATGAGAAATTGATGCACAGCAAAGTATCATTCTGCAAAAAAAAAAGTCTACTTATATAATATATACTTAAATTATAGACACATACAAAAGTTCGGTTGCTGATGCAACACATCAACAAGACTTACAGTAACTTACAGTACATAGACATACCCTCTGGTAATTTAACATAGCTATTGAAAATGACCATAGAAATAGTGGATTTTCCCATTGAAAATGGTGATTTCCCATAGTCATGTAAACGTTTACCAGAGGGTACATAGACATAATTCCGGTGACTTTCCAGTGCCATCATCTTCGCCTAATTTCGCAGGCTCAGGATTCAATACAAGTGGCACAAGGACCGCTGAAGGCAGAACGAAGGCATACAAGACAAAAAGCTGTGGGCCATCCTGGTTGGCAAACCGGAGACCCAGCAAGAAAGCCATACACAGCAGGAGATGGCTTAATATGCTTATATAATGTATCTTAATGTTGTTTATTGGGTTTGTCAAGTTTGTCACATGAATTACTAATAGAAAGTAGATTAAATCATCGAAGCACCCAGGGTTTTGATCCTGACCATAGCCCGGGATCGCCGGGGTCCTTGTGCCAGTAGGTCTTGCCTGTCGTCTTCTCCAACAAGCTGGCAGCAATCCACCTAAGCTCGTTTGATGAGATCCACTGTGATTCCCATCTCCATCGGGTTGTCATCCTGATAGGGTGCCCCCAAATCCATGGATTGTCATCCGGCTTCTCCATTGATTTTTTGTCAGAACTGGGGGGTATACCCCATTTTCAAACATATTCAATATATCCCATATTATATATATAATATATATATATATATATATCCTTATATCCCCATGAAACCCATATGAAAACCCCATTTGTTGACGGCTAATTGTGGGTTCTCCCACCTTTTTCTGTGCCTTTGCAGGCCAAAGTGCGTGGGGAGCAGGCCGATCAAGAAAGTGATGAGCAGCGCAGGTAAAAAGACCAGGAGTTTCGGGAGCACGGCGACCTCGAAGGTTTGGCTTTCGGTCCCCATGGAAGCTGGTTCAACTTGAAGTGGCTTGATCTACGTGATCAATCATGGTAAATCCATGTCCAAAAACACTCAACATCTATAACATATTATAAAAGTGTTTTGTGTGGCTATAATCCATCCAGGAAGCGATCTGTTCATTATTTTCATTTTAGGGTACCATTTATGGGGACTTCAACTTTTGGATGGATTGGTTGGATTCTGGTCGACCCAGAAAGTATATCACTATAGGAATTCGAACGAACTGGAATGTGATAGGGGATACAAACAATAACATACACAGAGATAGGGGATCATTGTGTAAACATCCATCAATTGAGGTTGCAATCATGGATACTCTACTGGTCAAAGTTGGGTATCAGTATCTGCACAATTGGATGACACTCAAAGAGCAACAAAGACACTCCATGACCATGATTCATGGGTGGTGACAAGACATATTTTGGGACATTTCTCATCAGTTGCTTATGGCACATATCATATCCCCCTTGTTGGCACAAATGATGTTTGCAAACCATCCGTAACTTTGAAAAGAACACAGACTCCCGACAATCGATCAAAGTTAGAAAGGGTCTCTGATGCGAGGGTGAAAATACTTGAGGTTCGTAGCTGTGATTGTGTCTAAGAATTGGGCACTCCCTGACATCCCAAAGAAAAAAAACAGTCCCTTCCAGGTAATGACCGTGGTATTCCATATGGTGCCTGTCTAAGAAAACGGTGTATCCCGAAAGTCCCCTGACCGGATCTAAACAGCTATTTCAATGGGTAAAAACGTGATAAGTCATCAGATTTTCCCTTTGTTTCCCCGAAATGTTCCAGATTTTCAGGTGCCAAAGCCATCTGTCTGCGTCGAAAACCAAGGCACACCACAAGCCACGGTCCTGGGATGATCGAAGCCCCGATCGAATTTGGTTGGATGAAAAACCTAAGGCCTAAGGGAAAATCTAACATTGGATGATATGGGATGTAGATCCAAGAAATTCCCATCGCATTCCGCGAAAAATGGAAGAAGTTGGAAAATCTGCAACTACACCACCACCAAAACACGATCAATCGAACGTGCTCTCACAACACCTCACTGGCAGAGAGGTTCACAACCCCAGCAGGGGGTTTGGATCAGCTAAGCCCCTGACAGAATAATTCTGCCTGGCAATAGTTCATTGGGATCATCAGCAGGGGAAGGTGCAACATGTAAAGTCACATTTGATCACTGGTCTAGCAAGATCATTTTTTTCCGTTGCTTTGCAGGGGGAAATTGCACTTTTCCATTGGATTTCAGAAGTCCAACCCCATCTTTGGCAATAGATTTACACCAGAGCTTTTTGTCCGATCACTTGGGCATGAAACCAGAGAACTGAAAGCAAATTCAAATGCCGGCACCCTAGTTTTCCGTGAGCAATTTCTGTGGATCCATGTTCAACATCTTGGATTAAAACATAAACTCTGTAGATTCTATTTGCGCCTTCAAGTAATGTTCAGCAAGCAACAAAAGATGTGGGATTTAAAGGCTTGGTGACTCGCCCGAAAAAATGGTAAAAGGGGGATGATGGGACACTTTTTGTTAGCATGTCCGGTGCTATGGTTTTCATGTTGCTGCTCAATGTTTCTTTCCTTGCAGTTGATATTTTACCCGTGGGGATTGCAGGGCATTTGTCTGTCGTCAATTCTCGTGTTGAAACTGTCCCCGTGCTTCATGAATACATGGTTGCCAAAAAACTAGCATTGTCTGTTTCCCTTCTTCGGGGTCAACGATATACACATTGACTGCTATTCTCCTCCATTGTTTTCTCCAAATTGTATCTATATTATATCAACACTTGATGAGGAAATTACATTGTCCGGTTTCAGTTCATCATTGATGGTTCCATGGTGAGACACTCTCTTTATATTTAGATGTTGATAAAGTGTATCAGCATCCCCCACCGTTTCCCCGCTGGTTTGCCGGTGGGCTTCCCATTTTGCGACACTCCCATTTTGCGGCCTCGGCGCGCCCCTTCGGAGCCGCGAAAGAAGGCATTGAGGTTGTCGATGCTGATGTGAATTCGCAGGACCTGGCGGCTACCGGAAACCTCCACTTGGGATGTTCTCGCCTTGTTGGGTTGCTAAGAACAGCCCTTGGAAAAACTGAACACCTGCAGTGTTGAAGTGGACAGATTTCACAGCATGAGAAAGAAAAGACCTAAGGCTTTGAGCTGTTTCAAGCCATCAAATTTGGGTCTGAAAGAGACAGGGATGTCATTGGGGTGAAACCAACAATCATCAGAAAGTCCATGATTCCAAAATTTGCGTGGAAGTCAAAACAAGTGACATTACCAACTTGAATTTGATGGGGAATGTCATCAAGAACTGGCTGTTAAGCAAAGAATGCGGGATTTTTGCCCACATTAGTGGAATGTATGGGGAAGACTGCAGCAAACATACGGGACATGACGACCCGGCTGACAAACATTGGGTGACAATCAACAACTTTGGGGGAGTTTAAACAAGAAACAGCGCGGAACTCTCAACGTTTTAAAAGTCAATGATTTTGAGCCATGGACTCTGGACATCTCTGGACCCAGTGATTCAGACCTCAGCCCTTCGTCCATCCCAACTGATGCGTTACTGTAATCATCCAGCACAATACTGTCAGTTGCTCATGCTGTACAGCATCATCCACCTTAACATTTATGTAATTACTTGAAGCGCTGTATATAAATACTATATATATATATATAAATTTACATACACAGTTCATCCATTGAAACCTTTATTTTTGGTCGGATCCCATTCTTTTGTAATTACTCGCTTCCCTTGGGTTAACCTTAGGCTATCCCCCCAATTCAGAATGGATCATGAAAGGCTAAAGTAGGCCCCGCCTGACCAAAAAGGTGATACGGTCAGTGTTCATCAATGATTAAATCATGATTAAATACCCATGAATCCCGTACCCCGTGAAATCTGCCTTATTCATTGTGGCGGATCTCCTAATTTATATATACCCTTTGCTGTTTTAACATAGCTACGGAAAATTGCGCATTTATATCCATTTAATTTATAGTTTATCTGCCTACTAAAACATTGTGATTTTCTGTAGCAAAATGCTAAACTACCAAAGGGTACCCACCAACCCAAGCTCCACTGGAAACATTCCGCCGGAGAACCTGCAAGAGCACCGGAAGCAACATCTCGTTGCGAAAGGACAGCAGAAACCATTGTGACCAAATATCCACATCCTGGAGCTTTGGGTTGCATGATATGGAGAGCTGTAATTTAGACAAAATTCAAAGCAAATGGGGAATTTGAGGGCAAACATGGTGAAGTTCATCATCATGATTCTTATCCATCTACTGACAGATTCTAGGAAATTATCCATCTACTGACAAAGTCTCTAAACATGGTTAGTAAAATGTGAAGTTCCTGACAAACTCTGGTGCCAGGTTTAGCGTTCAGGCCCATCCCAGGGTACCAGATGGATATCGATAATCCCTTTCCACCCATCCTGGTTGGTTGAGACCTGTACCCGGCTCTTGGATAGGTCGATAACTCTCATGAATTCAATCCCATGCAACCAATTCTGTAGCCCATAATCACCAGTCAGCTAGTTGTTTACCCCAAACCCATCAGCCAACAGCCTGCCAAATGGCTTTGTCTGAAAATGGGCTACCCCATTCCATCCTTTGGTTTATCACATGTTTTTCCTATTAACATCTATTAACTATCCATTTTGGGGACAAACTAACTAACATTACCCTCTGGTTATGTCAAAATAGCTATTGAAAATGGCCATTTATAGTGGATTTTCCCATTAAAAATGGTGATTTTCCATAGCTATTTTGACGTAACTCACCATTATTTTGGGGATATCCACCATTTTCAGACACACCCCAGTTTGATTTAGCCAAAGAGTCGGATACGATGGACAAATAGTCAGGATTCCTCAACAACGAATCTGCCAAGAGATCCTCACAGAACAGCGGCCGATTAAAGGGAAACCACCCTTCCGAAAAAGACGACTATGTCACTATGTCTATCCAATATATTATATATTTTTTGTGTATATATATATATATAATTATATATATATTGTATGTATATATATTATATATATATATCTATCAGGGATCACCATCCTAAATCTTGTCGGACAAAATGAGTTTGAAAGACCTAAGCAACGAGGGATGAGGTGAAGATGGTTCAAACATGTTCAAACGAAACAAACAAAATGGGTGACAACGCCTAGCTCACTTTGAAGTGGAACATAAATGCATCATAAGAAACAACTCTTTGGTATTGATCAGAGGGAACAAAACACACAGGAAACCATGGCTTTTACCTGAGAAATATGAGGAAACCCAAACCAGCAAGTTGGCCAGAAAGATTGCAGTCCCACTGCCCCGGGCGGCTACATGAAACGGCACGTCCATTCACAAAAGGCAGCCACAGAATGCCACGTTGGATGCCACACGACCATGATGCCCATAAATCCATCCCAAAGGTGACATACCAAGTGACATATAGGAGGGAGATCAGCTGAATGGGATAAAGGAAGCCTTGGCTGTGAGGAGATGTGAGGAGCCTGGCTGGTGATACCCTGCCTTTTGATGTCTCCAGAAACTTATGGCTTCAGATGAGGATGGGAACACCATTGCCAAACATCTGAGTGAAACTTAAACTATCAGTTGCTTTTCGTGTTCTGCAGGGAGTGATGAAATCTGATGAACATTCGTGGAAAATGACCTCAAACACGGAAGGTCGACCAAACTTTGAACATCTTTGCACCTGATGCGAGGCCGGACAATCCCCAAAAGCCGGATATTTTGCCCAAATGCAAGGCATTCTTCAGCTTTGGGATCTTTTGGATATTTGTTGTGGGTAATGTTCAAAGCAGGACAGAAACACAAGGGGTTGTCTCACACTTGTGAACCCACCCCATGATTTACCCTCCGGTAACGTGGCACTGGAAGATACCCTATAAATGGATATAAATTTAGATTCTAATGGAACATCATTAACATCATCTATAAATTACTATAAATACCATCAACATATATGAACATATATTAACATAATCTAGAAATACCATGAATTTTGCCATGTTTGCGGAGGTTGTGACTCAATTGGCCAGCGTTTGATAAACGCGGAGGCGAGCCACAGGCGGTTTGCACCGACCAAGGTAGAAAGATCTTCATCCCAGTCATGCCAGCGATTTTGATAAAGAACGGCGCCTTCTCCGGGGCGCCGTGGTGAAGCCAAGACGATGATTTTTGGTGGTTTTTGGGATGGTTTTTGGGCCGAGATGGGGTTTAGGTATATGTTTAGGTCAAAGTTGGGGTAGCACCAACAGTTTATGGAGTTTATGGATGCTTCTGGTGAAAGTTTAATGCTCAAAGTCACCATTTGGCGAATTAGCATCTGACTTACAGGCTCAGTTTCGAGAAGTTTTGACCCAGATGGATCTGTGGAATACGCTTTCCCTGTTATGAACCCTCTGAGGCTGGCTTAGACCCCCCAGCCTCCATCAGCACATTCACTGACTCTGCAGGTGAGAATTCGGCCCTCGGCTCAAAATCAATGGAAGCTTCTCAGCTGGACTGAAGCTGGACCATAATTTGAGGAGCCGTGATACGTTTGATCCCTGCGGTTCCCTGCGGCCGTGCCACCCCTCTGGACGTTTTCCTTCAAGCAGTCCTCCCTGGATGAAGGAAATCATCTGCCTCGCCAAGTCTGAGGCATGCTTTGACCGCATTACTTCACCAAGTTCTGCCCTCAAAAACCATCATGCACTAGGAGAGGAAAAGCCCCAGTTCTGATCGGAAAGTCAGGAAAAATCAGCTGTCAAGACAGGATTCCCCATTCGCAGGTTACTGGCTGACAAGCGCGACATTGACCCCTCCCACCGCATAGCTACCCCGGTACCTTGTAGCTTCAAAGAAGTTGCATCCACATTCAATTCCAACATTTACTGCTTAAATTCCTCAATCTTAAACCATCTCCATAAAAATCTCCAACTTTGCTGAAAAAACCCACCATTTTATGCCATGGGGATGGGTCCCCCACAATGTGGGGCCCCCAAGATAGCGTTCAGTTGGTGAACATAACTACAATTTCACGTTTGGGTTTATAGTAGTTATAACCATAGTTAGATGGGGTTATAAACCAACTTAGCTATCTTGGGGGGCCCCACATTGCAGGTTTCTTGATGAGCTCCATACCGCCAAGCTGCTCCGCCATACTGGAGAATTTCCAGGCCACCGGCCCGGAACGCCACAGCTGCTGGGGTCCTGGAACCAAGCTACCAAGCCTAAGGGCGGCCATGGAAAACGCGGAAGTTTCACCTATTTTTTGGGGGATCGAAAGTCGGGGAAACATCGGATTTAACATGATGCGACATGGATTTCACCAGCAAAATGAAGATGTTGCCTGGAAAACCTTGAGATTTTCACCAGATCACTGATGAAACAATGAGGAAGTCACCTACCAGGGACCTACCAACATGTGGAGTCCAGACAATTTACAATATCTTACAATGCTGAGTTCACACTAAACGCACCTTGAAGATTAGGGCTTAAGTGCTTCGGCTCAGGTAAAACATCGTGGGAGATATCACACTCACCATCACTCACCCAGAGAATCCCATAGACATAGTGTAAGATAAATTGGGTTACCGTCCATGGTAAACTAACATAGCTATATGGACAATCAGAATGTTCATAGCAAAATACACTATTACTATGGGCAATTTTCAACAGCTACGTTAAATTCGCAGAGGGTATGAGGCCAATGATAAACCCCTCATTACTCGGCTCAAGATTTCGTCAGACAAACTGAAACTCTGAGAAGATCTCTTGAAGATCTTGGCCATGCACATCTCTAGAGAAACGGTGTGAGTTTGTGGAAGTTTGTCCCCTCTTTGAGATACTGTATCAGACATATCAGTTGTATATATATATATCTATATATAATAATATAAATATATAGTATAATGTAAATATATATTATACACATATCAGGAAATATAAGTCCATGCAATCTTCAGGACATATCAGAACTGGCCACCCAGCTCGCAGAACGGCGAAAATCCCGAAAGCCAAGGGTCGTCACAAAGCGGTTGCTGGGACATCGTCGCAAGGCCACATTGTTGGGCTGATTGGAATCTGGCAGAAATTGATCTGCATCTGGCGCGAGGCGAGGGGTGCCATCAAGATAGGATATGGCGACTGGAAAATTTCAGGTGCACTGAAAATTCCAGTTCCGGGTGGCAAACGCTTGAGCATGTAGCTGCTAATGGAGCTATAGTTGTTGGAGACATCTCCTATATCATCTGAGAAATCAAACACACTGAGGCATCTGGAACTGGGACAATCAGCCTTGTTCAGATGTTTTTTTGTTCTGGTGTGGAAACTGGAATTTTAAACTACAATAATTTCCCTATGGGGCAAAACGTTACATCCCCAAGTTGCTATGCGAGAATGATCTGGCAATTTTCGCAAATCCAAAGACCAAAATCAGACCCAAATCTGAAGGAATCATCAATCCTCATCCCCCCAAAAATATCCACAAGTTGTTCAAATGAAATATGTCATCCAGCCCAAAATCACAATATATATGGAGGTGTCCTAAAATGGGGGTACCCCCAAATCATCCATATATATATAGCAGGATCTTCCATGATAATCCATCCAGCTATTGGGGTATCCCCCATTGAAACCTCCATATATTCACCACCCAAAAGGGATGCTGTCGCCTGGAATAGGCTTCACTGGAGGCATCAGCACTGCCGAGGCGGTCTTGATGATCTCCGTGAGCATGTTGACCTCGAAAAAACACTTCATCGCAACATGTGGTTGGGATATATGGTACAAATATCATGTGATGTATATATATATATATATTATATTATATAGCATGTTATATGTGTTGTTATACATATATTATATCTATAATGTAATGCCATGATCTGTATTCAACATACCATATTGTACTATAATATGTACTCTAAAATTATCTTATTAGCATCTAATTATATATACACATTATAATATCTAAATGGGTTTTCTATCAGCTAAAGTATATCTATGGTAGAACAAATGTTATATCTGTGATGCAATTACATCATCTACATATGGATGCGGCAAGGGATTGGTTGAAGCTCTAAATTAAAGGTGATGGTAAAATATCAGCGGCAATGGTGGTGAGATATCCAACAAAAATGCTGAAACACGCAAAGCAACGTTCAACAATGGGCAAATGCAAGCAAACCCGAAAACATGAACGAAACATGCTCTAGGTAAGGCAGTAAATGAGAAAAACATCAAACACTGGCAATTGAAACACACATGCTGAAACAACGGACAAAAAAACAGGCGTGAAGCATTAGTATATCATCTAAGAATCATGGGAATCTGGTGCGGTGTACCAGCTTGCTGACAGCAGCATCCCCATCCCACAACAGGCTGAGTTGCTATGCTGGCAACGGACAGGAAAACGAAGCGGAAATCCTGGCGGAAAACGGAGGCTCTGATGGTGACTTAAATGAGGTAAGAATAGTTCTAAAACGGCAACCATGTGCATTCAGTCCCCAAAGTGCAAGCAAATGACTTTCTCCCGGTGTCTAAACCATCTGCAACCATGTGATGCGGCAACGGGCCCATCTGCTCATTTTAGCGGGACCTCTATTGAAGGCTATGTATCTTGCCAAGCATGGTTCACCATCAAAATTAAACCATGTCCAAGGTACTTGTCTCTTGTCTCATGCAAAGTTGATGTACCCTCTGGTTATGTCAAAATAGCTATTGAAAATGGCCATTTATAGATGAATTTCCCATTAAAAATGGTGCTTTCCATAGCTATGTTAGTTTGCCAGAGGGTAAGTTGCCCAGAAATGATTGAGCAGTGTCCAAAGCCGCTGTCATTCTTTCATGTTCGTTGATGTTTCGCATAATTTAGGACAGTTTCATAATCCCGAATCCCCTAGTAATCCAAGAAAAAACATCATCTATCAATTCTATCCGCATGAAAGCCCCAAATCAATGATGCTTGAAATTCCATTTAGAACATTACCCTCTGGTAAACTAACATAGCTATTGAAAATTGCCATTTATAGATGAATTTCCCATTAAAAATGGTGCTTTCCATAGCTATGTTAGTTTACCAGAGGGTAAATTGCCCAGAAATGATTGAGCAGTGTCCAAAGCCGCTGTCATTCTTTCATGTTCGTTGATGTTTCGCATAATTTAGGACAGTTTCATAATCCCGAATCCCCTAGTAATCCAAGAAAAAACATCATCTATCAATTCTATCCGCATGAAAGCCCAAATCAATGATGCTTGAAATTCCATTTAGAACATTACCCTCTGGTAAACTAACATAGCTATTGAAAATTGCCATTTATAGATGAATTTCCCATTAAAAATGGTGCTTTCCATAGCTATGTTAGTTTACCAGAGGGTAAATTGCCCAGAAATGATTGAGCAGTGTCCAAAGCCGCTGTCATTCTTTCATGTTCGTTGATGGGGGTTTCGCATAATTTAGGACAGTTTCATGATCCCGAATCCCCTAGTAATCCAAGAAAAAACATCATCTATCAATTCTATCCGCATGAAAGCCCCAAATCAATGATGCTTGAAATTCCATTTAGAACATTAGTTCATGACTAACTATGTAGAGGTCTCTTTGGCGTCCCACCCCGCAGCGAAAGAAACCAACTAGCCTCTGGCACTCAAATCAGAGGCTAGATAGAAACTCACTTTTTTTGAAGACATATGGAACACATAATCGGATTTTCCATAGATTTCCCCATTTTCTTCCATGATTTTCTCTTCAGCAACAAAAAAACGTTGATTTCCCAGCCGTGGGAAGATGATGTTCCAGCGGCCCAACCTTCAAGTGCTCCAAGTAGTCTCGGTTTCCGATCTTGAACTTTGAAGACCTGGGAGTTTTTTTGGGTATTTCGCTGGAGAACGGGGCTAATTATATCACCAGCAGACTCTTTGATGAGCGGATGATTCATTTGTGAGTGGATAGAGATAGTCAGCCAAACATGTCATATACATTCATATACGATATATAATGATATATACTATGAACATCTGTTTGGGTCACTGCAATCTCTGACTGAAAGAGGTATGCTGCGTGATGAATTTCAAGTTATGATGCTTTGATCTTCTCGCAAAACACTTATGTCCTGAATCGAGATTCCAACTTGGGCATGCATCGCAGTTAGTGAGTGGATAACAACCATCATATAACCCAATTATCTATAGGTCGGACATACCCCAGTTTTTCATAGGTTATTAACTAATTACTTACTAATTGGCATGCACGCCCAAGAAGTCATACCACTGAATGAATCGTCGGCACTGTGCACCAGTCATTAGTCTTCTCATGACGAAAAAAAACGAAAAACACCTCTCTCCCAGAATCCAAGAATCCAGGAGAACATAGGGAACTGCCAGGTTACCCTAGAAATCCCTTCCCCCGAAGAAAATACACACAAATTTTACCAGAGATTGGTGGTAATTCGACCATGCTCAATGTTGGCTTAAACCACAGTATTAGTAGTTCATATAGTAATTATAGTTAAAATAGTCAATATGGTATAGTTAATATAGTTAATATAGGCAGTTAATATAGCTCAATATAGCTCATATAGTTAATATAGTCAATATATGTTAATCTATGCTAATACATGTTAATATAAATGTTAATATCTGTCAATATCTGTTAATATAGCTAATAGTAATATAGTTGTCAATATATTTATATCATCAATATATGTAAATCCATGTTGATACAGTACATGTTGATATAGTCAACACACACACATACTAATATCACCATCTATCTGCTGGTTGCATTATGTACAGTACGGCATAAACATTCCATCCCATCCCATCGCCCACCTGGCATCGCAAATGGGATCGTACTCAGAGGGAACCTCAAAAGCTGCAGGATAATCCACCACAGTGGTCATCATGATGATGTACCTGCGCGGATCTCGCATGGCTGGATACCATCAATGACGCGGATACCCCAATAGCTGGATTCGGGTTATTTCATGGAAAATACAATCTATATATAAATGGATGATTTTTATGGGGCCCTATTTCAGGAAACCTCCACATTGGGCTTGTTTTGACCGTAAGACTCCATCAGGATGAGGTTTGTATGTGGTTCCCCCTTCGCCATCGACTCAGCAAAAGTTCCGAAGACTCCTGGGTAGGATACCCCGACACTTTTGGGCCCTTTGAATGGGGAACATGCTCATCAACCATGGGATTTTGATAGATTTTGCCATATGGATTATCATGATAATAATGAATAAATATGAATAATAGTATCCATAATAAAATCCCTAAATTCCTCAGTTTTTTTAGACACATATGGTTTTTAATTATATGTTTTTATTCACCAGGGTCACCAGGCATCCGCCCATCGAGTTTCTCTCCGCCTATCTGGATGAACCGAAGGCAGCGCAAAATGGATTGCAACGGCCAGCCCCAATGCCACGATAGTAGTTAAAATCACCTGGCAGTGTGTCAAAACCTTGTACCCCTGGTGAACATCAAAATAGCTGGCAAATGGATGTTCATCCCCCTAAAAATGGTATTAATAGGTATTGATCCATACCCACCTGATTTATCCTGATTTTGCGCGAAGTTTTTTTTCGGAAGCTGGAGTTGTGTATGGACATGTAGGGTTCCACCACGCCTTTTGGACTTGATTTCTGATATTACTATTATATATATATATTACTGTAATATTACCCATAGGATCCATGTATGGTATATATGCTAACATTTGGGGTATATTGATGGTAAATGTTACCATATATAGTATACATGGATCCTATGGGTTATGCAAATAGATGTAAATATAATATTATAAATTTACACTGGAATGCTGTTGCTTGGAGTCACTCCCTTGCAACTGAAAGACACAGCTAGTTGGCAGCACCAACAAATTTCTCCATGCTGTCAACTTGCCCGCCATTGCAAGCACACAGTGGAGCCAAGTCGCCTTCCAGGATGATAACAAACAGTTCCTGAGCATGTATTGAACTTCTGGAATGCTGACATCACCTGGGCTCATTTGAAAAGGAAGATGGAACATGTTTGAAGATTTGTCGTCAGGGCCGCTCAACACACGGTGCCACTGGCGAGAGGGAAGCAGGGTGCACAGGGAAAACTGTGAATTGGCCAATCATTCCATTTCAACATACCTTCGTTTTTTTTTCAGCCATATGGCAATGGGTCTGAAACGGGATTTGGATGACTCCGTAAAGTTGACATGTTTTGTCAAGAAATGATCCGTTATTCTCCACGGTCCTGGGGTCCTCCACTCTGCCGGCCTGCCCTTTTTCCCTGGTGACACAGACATGAATAGACCAGAAGCGCAGCCATCTGGGCTTCATTTTGACTTTGCAACTTGACCCAGCCAGAAATATCATATGTCCCCTCAACATCAAGCCCCGTGTCCCATTTGACCGTGCTGCTCGAGTGGTGGCTCCCCTTTGAGGATGCACGGCCCTCATGCACAGCATACGTCAGAAGCGCAGTCTGGCGACGAGACCACGGCTGGTGAGCACCGGGGGGATATAGAAGTTGTAGGTGAAGCATGGTGAAGTAATATGTAGGTGCTAGATCTAACATAGAAACTCATGTCTTGGTCTTAGATAAGTATACTAGTATATAATGAAAACTCATGAACATATGATTAAAATATGTGTATAAACAATTAGTAAGTTGGAGGTGCAAACGTTGAAAGTCTAAGAAAGTTTGACACCTCGATGCATTTTGAAACTCAGGCAGAAGATGGTTCAAATCATACCATG